CTTTAGTAAGTGTACACAGTCAATCAGTTCGCAAAGCTTCTCTGTCTTTTTGTCCCAAATCTCAACAAAATAGCTCTCCTTCTTTGCCAAGTAGATAAATTTGTCCACTGCTATAGAAATAATATTGGCATTGCAGTAGTCCTTGTGACATAACCTGAGACACAAACACACACACAAAGAAAAAGGAAATCAGAAAAGGATATTGTGGCGTTTACAACACAGGCTACAGTGCATAAACTGATTACGCTGATTGTCAATCCTGAGCTGGCCTGAATGAGACCATTTTTGAGACTTCAGTGCTGACACACCAGCGAAGAGGGATAGGGAGGCAGGAATAGAGATAGTTGGGGTGTTGTAGCCAAAACAAAATACTTTCTCATGGGAACCAAGGTCATTCCTCCAGGTGCTAAAGAGAGAGAGAGAGAGAGACCACCTCCTGCCATTTACCTCCCAAAGACCGATTAGATCACACAGATTGGGCCTCCTCCAGGTACCATCGGCCGGTCAATGTCGGCTGGCGACTCCCCCGGGGGAGGGCCTTCTCTGTTGCTGCTCCGGCCCTATGGAATGATCTCCCCGTTGAGATCCGGACCCTCACTACTCTTCCGGCCTTCCGTAAAGCCACTAAGACCTGGCTGTTCCGGCAGGCCTGGGGCTGTTGATTAGTATCCAGCCCCACTTTAATTAGTATGTATGTTGTGTAATTTTAAACAATTGTACTTCTATTTTTAATTTTTATATATTCCCTTGTTTGTCTGTAAGCCACCCAGAGTCCCTAGGGAGTGGGCGGCATACAAATGTCAATAAACTTCCAAACTTCCAATAAGTCAAGGACTACCTGTAGGTGACTCTGGGCCAGTCACTTGCTCTTAGCCCTAGGAAGAAACAAAGGCAAAACTGAAAATATGAATGAATGAATGAATGAATGAATGAATGAATGAATGAATCTCCTATCAAACAAATCATCTATGAAATTAACTACAGTTCTGAGAAAGTATTTCTAATTCAAAGCAGAAACTAGCATTTCTAAGTTGTTCCTCAAGTTGTTGGAATAAGATGTCCGGATATTTGAGACTGAATTTTTCTGACATTCCATGATATTCAAGCATTAAAATGAAATATATGGAGGGTCTGTCCTAATGTCAGTGTAGACACCTAATATTCTATGTTAATTGCTTTGGGTTTTTAATTTGCATCCTGACCTGAGCTTAGCTCCAAAAGATGTTGAAAGATACGGCTGTTTTAATGCTCCCAGCAGCACTTGGTCAACTTTGCCAGTATACACTAAAGCAGTAAAGGAAAAACCAAAGTACTCCAAGATCAACAACTACATAGAGAAAAGGGGCGACTATAACTCTGGCAAATTTTCCCCCTGGCTTGAACTTCTCAAGTGATGAATGAAGTGTCAGGAAAACATATGACAGCAATGCTGAGGGGGAAAAACCGACACAGAAAGTGAGTTATAAGTTGCATGAAAGATAAACAGAATACTGTATGCCTGGCAGAAATTCTGAATTGGGTTATAAACTAAGGAAACAGGTTCTTGCCAATGTTACTGTGCCAGTGAATTCTACCTGACCAGTCTTGTTTTGGCTGCATATGAATAGTTTATGGTATTTAACTAATTATTTCATCAACTATTGCTACATCCGTCACTCTGCTTTCTTTGATCAGAAAAATGTATAAATTGGGGCTCAGCCAGGATAAACACGGAATATCACTATCCTCATAGTTGATATTTATTTATTTATTAGACTTAGATATGTTTGTATTTGAGCATTATTTTCTTTCTTGATAAAGATATGGCACAAATTTCAGTCACAAACATTTGAAGAGTCCTGTAAGGATTTTTTTTTTGAAGTGCACACGAACATCATCATTCAACATGGATAAAATTATGACTGTAATTATGGTCATACATTGAGGACTACCTGTATACCAGCAAACAGATCAGATACTGCCAGAAACAGTTCAGGGAAATTCATTATTTTATACCAAGGATTTCTACTGGCAGGTTTGTATAACTGATAAAAACGGTTCACCGACAAATGCGCGCACGACAAAAGCGCGGCAACAAAACCACGGTGAGATAACCGTGACTTTGAAATCGCGCCCACAACAGCGCGCCGACAACAGCGCGCCGACAAAAGCGCGTTTAGGGTTAAGGTAAGGGTTAGGTTCAGGGTTAGGGTTAGGGTTATTATGTTGTTTC